GTACTGGTACGGGTACCCGTTTGCGACCCTGGTGTGGCCGGATACGGGTACGGGTATGGAATCAAAACCCGTTTGCGACCTCTGGTCTATAGCCGGTGCGGGAAGAGCGGGCCGAGAACACAATCTTGGCGAAGCTCTGTGGGAGCTACCTCGAGGTGGGAGACCCTTTCCGACAGCATTGGCGTGGGCGAGGCGATTGCAGGGCTGCGCCTGTGTCTTTGTCGCGTCGTCGAAGTTGCTAACGAAACGCGTTGAGTGTGTAGGTGACGGCGTGAAGTCGGTAGGCGACGTTATTCGGGGTGGGGGGAGGGGATAGATGAAAGAGGAAATGCCACGAAGGGTTAGCAATAGATTAATGTTATCAGTCAGGGTCAATCCACTGCTGGATGAACGCGTATCCCAGCCGTAGCCATCTCCCGTGGACACGTGACGTCACGCAAAGTCAAAGTGAGATTGATTCTAGATTTGAAGTTTTCGTAACTGCAAGGATCCATACTTTTAGTTTTTTTCGGTACAGTCACGTAGGTAAAAAATAAAATAAATTAAAATGAAAACAACTAAATGAAATAAAAATTTCATTTAAATTAAATAATTATTATTTATTATTTACATTTATTATTTACATTTAAATCAAAACTACTATATTAAATAAATATTTTACGTAAAAACTTTTTGAATTTTTATTTACTTTTTATTTCAATGCGAACAGCAAACTTAAATAATTATTTAATCTAGTTTTTTTATTTAAATGTAAAATTATTACTTATTTATTTCCGTTGTTTCATCTTAATTTATTTTCTTTTTTACCTACGTGACTTTACCGAAAAAAACAAAAAGTACAAAGTGAGATTGCTTTGTCGTCATCATCATCATCTTCAACATCATCATGCACCATGATCACTCCACCGCTGGATGACGCCTCTCCGAATAGAGCGAGTCAGTGGATTTACGATTTAGAACAACGCTGGGCGGATGAGCACGGAACGTGTGCAGGTTGCAAGTTGTCGCATACCAAGTTCGCGAAGGAGAATCACGCGTGCGAATTAAGATGCATTGGAATGTTTCAAATCTACAATTTAATTGATCTCGGTCATAATTGTTAACAACATCAACAACAACAACAACAAAACATCACATCCGTCAATAACCATGGCCTTAAGAAGGGAGGGGGGTGGAAATATATTGGCGACGTTTCAGGCAATGGTCCTTCATGGCACGTAATTAAACGCAATCGTGACAATGTATCGAATAATCCCGAAGGGTTGGGTGGGTGGATCATTACCGCTCCCACATTTCTACATCAGGGATTTGTTTCAGTAGGAGCTCTTGAGGACTGAGCTCCGGAAAATGTCTTCACCCGGCACACCACATCGAGTATATCATCTGAAAACTCCCTGCGTGTGTCGTACACACACACACACACACGTACGTATGTTGAACGTCTTTCGCACCGTACGTAGCCATGGGAAGGAAAACAAACTAACCACCAAAAGCAGTTCTCAAGAAATTCGTTTTTAATCCACATTTAAAAGAAATACGGACAGAGGCCCGAACCGCCAGAGCGGCCTGCAACAAACGGCACCGTTATCAAAGTTGTAATCGATAACGAGTGTAGCGCGACTCTGAGCAAGGTGACGGTGAGAGCTGGTGGGGAGGAGAGGAATGATGATGACGATGGTAGAGGGCATCCCGCAGTGGAGCAGTGAGGGAAGGATTAGAATGAGAAGTGAGGTGAGTGGGTGAGTAGGTGGGTGAGTAAGTGGGTGAGTAGGTGGGTGAGTGGATGGGTGAGTGGATGGGTGAGTGGATGGGTGAGTGGATGGGTGAGTAGGTGGGTGAGTGGATGGGTGAGTGGGTGAGTGGATGGGTGAGTAGGTGGGTGAGTAAGTGGGTGAACGGGTGAATGAGTGAGTCTGTTGTTGTGACCTGCAGTGCGGTGAGTGAGTGAGATGTCGTACACATTTGATACCATGCACAGCAAGTGTGTTGTATCAAGTGTGTGGACACGCGCACACATACACGCTAACCGGAGGGTATAACTGTTCATGAAAGACAAATATCCCCCGTGTAGCCTTGAACGAGTGTTGAGGCAAGTGCTATTAGCGAGTATCTATGAAAGCCGGCACGGCACACGAGGGGGTAGGTGGCCAGCACCACGCCCGCCGCCTTTGTCCCCTAGTGCTGATGTTAACGCAGCGCATTCGGTGCTCGTTTAGGGCTGAGTCGACCTAGCAGAGTCCCAGCTACCGCTTCAGAAAATCGTCACCTATGTTGGTCGTGAGCGGGAATCGAACTCGGGTCGCAAGGTTCGTAGCGCAACGCGCTCACCGCTGCACTACCGCACCCCAGACACAACAACAACTTCCATTCGCCACGAAGTGGAGGTGGTGCCAGGCTACGTGCACGTTGAGGGCACGTGAAGTGTCGAAAGCCCGCTGGCAGGAGGTCAAGGGACAGACCCAGGTGCCATGGGTTGCGATCGAAACGTCGTAGTTTTTTGCCTATTTTATTTTTTATTAAATTTAACCTATCCACGTGACTTTACCGAAAGACCCAAAGAATATGAATGCCTGCAGTCACGAAAGCTTTAAGTCAAGATTTATCGAGAAATGATAACAGTCTATTAATTAGTGGGCTATAAATTACACGCGTTTAGTTCTAATTCAATAACTTAATTGGAGCGATATCACGTGGCTCTTCCATTGATGTTAATTGACGCCCCGTGGCTGGGGATAGTTTCTGATTAATTATCAATAGACGATTGCATTTCAATTAAAGATTGACAGCAGACGCAATGCAGTACACGCACGCAGAGGCGGAAGCAATGTCCTGCTCAAATGATCATCCGTTGATTCCAGCCTTGCAGAGCTCAGTGGTGGAAATTCCACATTCCTCTGGTGAGGAGCGAGTCTATCGACTGGAGATGCACCGTTGTTAACAAAACTTACAAAAGGGTAGTTTTATTTTATCGGTCCCGGAAGGATAATGGGCTGAGTTAATCCACAAAACGAGGGCGCGAACTCGCAACCTTCAGATTGTGATTCCGCTTGCTCGACCCGCTGAGCCAGCTGCTCGGTTAAATCACCATTTGAGGCTGAGTCGACCTAGGGGAGGCCCAGGACCGGTTCAGATAATCATCACCGGTGTTGGCCGTGAGTGGGAATCGAACTCGGGTCGCCAGGGTCGTAGCGCGGCGCGCGAACCACGACAACTACCGCTCCCCAACAAAGACGCACACACACAAAGACAAAGATCCCCCATATAGCTTTAACATGCTGTTGGGGCAAGTGCTGTTAGCGAGCACCTATGAAGGCCGGCATGGCACACGAGGGGGTAGGTGGCCAGCACCACGCCCGACCGCCTTTGTATCCCCAGTGGCGATGTTCACATACTGCACCAGGTACTCATTTGAGGCCGAGTCCACCTAGGGGAGACCCAGGACCGGCTCAGATCATCGTCACCGGTGTTGGGCCGTGAGCGGGAATCGAACTCGAGTCGCCGGGTTCGTAGCGCAGCGTAGCGTTAACCGCTACCCTACCGTTCACCTGATAGCATCACAGTTAGAATGCACGGGGCAGATTGTATCGTACAATCGCTGTTCGTAGTGTCCGTCGACATCATGGGGTCCGGCACATCTGCGTCTCTTTCAGTGCCGCTTCATGGCCAGTTATTTATTAAGGGGCCACCGTGTCTCGTTTTCACCACGCGGTGCATTTGTGGCTCTTGAAATATCGAGGTCAATAGCTCGTTGGTACATAATACGCGCGGCTTCTCTTGTTTATTTATTCAGAAGAAGAGGTAAAAAAAAATTAACCTCCCCGGATGAGTCTCAAATGTTTACGAGGGTGTCCTGCTCCCACATTGGGGATATTTGTCCAATTCCATCAAATAATAATTGGGAGTTTGCTTTCTTACGGGAGGGATAAGGGAAATTGCGGGAACAAACCCCAGAGAGAGAGACGCACACACACTTAAAGATCCGCGCGGATAGATTCACGAATCCGCTGCTGTACTGCCCTGTCCTGGCCACCTCTCAGCCCGAGCCGATGGTACCTGGTATTCTGGATAAGGGGTTCAACTACCCAGCAGGCTCAACTCTGCTTAGCTTCCGTTGAGGTTTAGGCAAAATCTCCCTTGACTTGGCCGCGCATTTTCACGGTGCCTTGTCGCTGGACTCCATCGCCACTGAGCTCACAGGCAACGTGGTTCGAGTCCCGCCACGGGACATTGCTAAACACATTTCGGCGCAGCGCGGCTCACAACTTGCACGCGAAAGTCACCCCGACGTCGTCACTCGTAGGCAGAGAAGTGGGGGGGGGGGGGTGCCACTGCACTCATCCCTCACGGCTACAATCTCCCCGCTTCACGCCCTGATTTCTCTCTCTCACACTCTCCCATCTCTCCCGTCTCTCCCACTCTCCCGTCTCTCCCACACTCTCCCGTCTCTCCCACTCCCCCGTCTCTCCCATCTCTCCCACACTCTCCCACTCCCCCGTCTCTCTCACACTCTCCCACTCTCCCATCTCTCCCACTCTCACATCTCTCCTACTCCCCCGTCTCTCTCACACGCTCCCACTCTCCCACTCCCCCGTCTCTCTCACACTCTCCCACTCTCCCACTCCCCCATCTCTCCTACACTCTCCCATCTCTCCCACTCCCCCATCTCTCCCATCTCTCCCACTCTCCCACTTTCCCATCTCTCCCACTCCCCCGTCTCTCCCACTCTCCCACTCTCCCACTCCCCCGTCTCTCACACTCTCCCACTCTCCCATCTCTCACACTCTCCCACTCTCCCACTCTCCCATCTCTCACACTCTCCCACTCTCCCACTCTCCCACTCCCACACTCTCCCACTCTCTCCCATCTCTCCCACTCCCCCGTCTCTCCCACTCTCCCACTCTCCCATCTCTCACACTCTCCCACTCCCCCGTCTCTCCCACTCTCCCATCTCTCCCACTCTCCCACTCTCCTACACTCTCCCACTCTCCCGCCTCTCTCAGACTCGAAGGAGCGGCGGGAAGAGTCGAGAGCCGAGGAGGAGGAGGGCCAAGCGAAGCTCAAGCAGCGCCGCAGTCGCACCAACTTCACCCTGGAGCAGCTCAATGAGCTGGAACGTCTATTCGACGAGACGCACTACCCCGACGCGTTCATGCGGGAGGAGCTGAGCCAGAGGCTCGGACTGTCCGAGGCTCGAGTGCAGGTACAGTCAGCATCATCAGCATCATCATCAGCATCATTATCATCATCAGCAGCATCATTATCATCATCAACAGCATCAATCAGCATCATCATCAGCAACAGCATCATTATCATCATCACCAGCATTATCAGCATCATCACCATCAATCAGCATCATCAGCAGCAACTATAATTAGCATCATCATCAGCATCATCATCAGCATCATCAGCAGCAATTATCATTAGCAGTATCATCATTGGCAGTGTAAGGTCATTAGCAGCGACAGCATTATCATCAGCAGCTTCAAAGTCATCATCATCAGTAGCAAAAGCATGGAACCATCACCACCATCATCATCATCATAACCGTCGACGTTGCGTGCAATGCTACGCGAAGCGCGTGTTCACGATCACGCAACATCATCGGCATCTTCGCCTAAATCATGATCATCATCATCATCACCATGATCATGGCGAGTTTTTCCCATCATACATCGCGAACGAATATGTCCCATCGGAGCGAGCCGCTATTCAAAATAACAACAACCAAGCAGCAACAACAACAACAACCAAATAACAACAATTATTCGGATATCTGCTGTGCCACGGCGACAATCATCATCAGCAGCAGCAGCAACCGTCGACTCTTACATTTTTAATCAACTTTTAGCGGGTGGGGGTGGAGGGGGGGTGGAGGAGGGGGGGTGCGTGAGGGGTGGGAGGATGAGAGGGGGATGGGAGCGAGTGAGTGATCACGTTTCACGAAGGTCATGCCCTGTGCCGTGGAGGAGCTGTCGAGTGTGCAGGCAGTGCAACTGCGCCGGGGCCCAGAGTGTCGAGGAGGGATGGGGGGGGGGGGTAAGGAGGCGGTGAGGAATTGTAGAGGGGCCCCATTTAATTCCCGACAGCAGGGCCCATGACAGTCACTCGCGAAGGCCCGCTAGCACCACCACTCACACCCGACTACCAACCTTGCATGATAACACCATCACTAGCACCACCATGACTACTACCAGCCATACCTACCACCAATAACACCACCACCACCACTAACAACACCGCCTCTCGCCATCACGCCCACCCCCTCGCCACGGTGGAGAGATGTTAACTACCTCGCCTGGTATGCAGGAGGTCGTGGGTTCGATCCCGACCCTGACACCTGCTGCTGTATATTTTGGAGTCTGGATGTTTCGCTCTCCCCGTAGTGGCGTGAATTTTTCTCCGGGTCCTCCTGGGGTCTCCCCCCCCCCCCCCACTCCACATTTAGAACGAACACCACGCGTTGCGATAAATGTTCCCTCATAAATGATAAGCCACTTCGTTGAACCCCCATTTGTGTTCAACCAGTTCGCTTCTGAAGAAAAAAAAAGCTACGCCTAGCTCCGAGCGGGCCTTACACCTGGCAAACAAACAAACAAAAATACAAAACGAAAAATTGTTCGAGAAAAAAAAATTACCAAAAAAATTCAAGAGCCATCACCGGCCCCTAACCCCCCTTCAATCGGAAACATTGCCCGCTCGTGTCGGCTCCGGAACGCCTCAACAATGGGAACACCGCGGCCGCTCTTCTGCGTAAATGTCAGGCGCTTTCAAATTGCATCGCTCAATGTACGCGGCATGAGGCGGTCGGTCGGCATCAATAAAGCCAGCAGCGGCATGCATTATTGATTAAAGTATCTCGTGTGATTAACACAAGCCCGCATGCCGCGCCAGCATTGATATATGCCCAACCCGAGCGCGCATGATAATGTCTGATTTATTTATTCGGGGATACTTAGGGGCGCGCGTTTGATTCGATCTGATTTAAGGCGGGCGAGGAGTTGGAGGGGGGTGGGTGGATGGGTGATCGAGGCGGGTTCATTGTCTACTCTTGTGGCGCGTGTCCCAGGTCTGGTTCCAGAACAGGCGCGCCAAGTGCAGGAAACAGGAGAATCAAATGCATAAAGGTAATTGTCTGTGTGTGTGCGCGCGCGTGTGTGTCTATGTGTGTGTGTCTATGTGTGTGTGTATATGTGCTTGTGTATATGTGCGTGTGTCTATATATGTGTGTCTATATATAGGTGCTCGCTAACAGCACTTGCCCCTACAGTATGTTACGCCTATACGGGGGATCTTTATCTTTATCTGTGTGTGTCTGCGCGTGTCTGTGTGCGTGTCTGTGTAACCGGTCCTCGCCTAGGTCGACTCAAACTCAAATGAGTACCTAGTGCGGTGTGTGTGCCGTGTTGGCCTTCATAGGTGCCCGCGAGCAGCACTTGCCCCAACAGTGTGTTAAGGCTATACTGGTGATCTTTGTATGTAGTGTCGGGTATTTACATGGCAGTCAGTTTTACTTTTGTGTATCTGTGTGAATGTGTGTCTGTTTGTCTGTGTCTGTCTGTGTTGTCTGTGTCTGTTTGGGTGTGTGTCTGTTTGTGTGTGTTCGTGCCTGTGCTGTGTGTCTGTGTTGTCTGTGTCTGTTTGGGTGTGTGTCTGTTTGTTTGTGTTGTCTGTGTCTGTCTGTTTGTCTGTGTGTGTGTGTTCGTGCCTGTGCTGTGTATATCTGTGTGTCTGTGTGTGTGTTCGTGCCTGTGCTGTGTATATCTGTGTGTCTGTGTGTGTGTTCGTGCCTGTACTGTGTATATCTGTGTGTCTGCGTTTGTGTCTGTTTGTGTGTTTGTCTGTTTGTGTGTGTTCGTGCCTGTGATGTGTGTCTGTGTTGTCTGTGTCTGTCTGTTTGTCTGTTTGTCTGTGTGTCTGTGTGTGTGTTCGTGCCTGTGCTGTGTATATCTGTGTGTGTGTGTTCGTGCCTGTGCTGTGTATATCTGTGTGTGTGTGTTCGTGCCTGTGCTGTGTATATCTGTGTGTCTGTGTGTGTGTGTTCGTGCCTGTGCTGTGTATATCTGTGTGTCTGTGTGTGTGTGTTCGTGCCTGTACTGTGTATATCTGTGTGTCTGTGTGTGTGTTCGTGCCTGTGCTGTGTGTATCTGTGTATATCTGTTTGTCTGTGTGTGTGTGTTCGTGCCAGAGGTGGGACAAAGTCATTGTTATGCAAGTCCAAGTCGAGTCTGAAGTCATCAAATTCATGACTCGAGTCTGACTCGAGTCCAAGTCACATGACTCGAGTCCACACCTCAGAGGTGGGACAAAGTCATTGTTTTGCAAGTCCAAGTCGAGTCTGAAGTCATCAAATTCATGACTCGAGTCTGACTCGAGTCCAAGTCACATGACTCGAGTCCACACCTCTGGTTCGTGCCTGTACTGTGTATAGCTGTGTGTCTGTTTGTGTATTCGTGTCTGTGCTGTGTATATCTGTGTGTTTGTGTGTGTGTTCGTGCCTGTACTGTGTGTATCTGTGTGTCTGTCTGTTTGTGTATTCGTGTCTGTGCTGTGTGTGTCTGCCTGTTTGTTCGTGCCTGCGGGCACGTCTCTACTGAGAACGGTGGTGCAGTTTGTGTGTTTTTGCTTCTCGACGTCCAGGACGTGGCGGGTTTATTCGTGTAAGGCTACTGGAAGGGCGCACTTTTACACCAGGTGGTTTAACTACCGCATCGAGCTCACGGCTAAGAGAGATAGAGAGAGGGAGAAAACAGACATCTTCATCCTTTGCTCTGGGTTAGATCGCGCAAATATATAAATGCGTCGTTAAGCCCGCCCAACACGGGTGTGCTGAAGCACTTATAACTTAATTGTCAAGATTCGCTGCCAAACTTGACTCATTCGCTTCACTCATCCTTTATTCTGGATATTGGTCGCGAAAGCCTCCGACTTTGTGCGAGACGTCGTCACCGACACGGAAGTCGTCTTCCGCCCTGCGCCCCTGCATGCTTTTCGCCACCAAACGGTGATTGATGAATAAATAAATAATTGCGTCACCAATCTATCGCTACGACGTCAACCGGATGCGTTCCATCACCACGGGGCCCCCTGAGCGCCCCCTCCAGAGCCCCTCCCCCCCGAGCCCCTCCCCCTCTAGCCCCGCCCCTCGAGCCCCGTCCCCGCTTAATCTCCCAATGGGACGCCTCGGTGACGAGATCAGTATTTTAGAATAATTATTGAAACTGGAGGAATCCGATGAGCTATTAAGCTCTTGACTTTAAAGCTGTCCGGTAGGGGCGAATGAGAACGTTACAATAAACAAACAATAAAGACACGATAGGAGTGCAAAGTTTAGGAAAGGTAAGAAAATGACTTAAATATACAGATAACAACTAAACAGTTTTTTTTTATATAACCAGGTAAAAGGCCACGGATCTGGCTACAAATGATAGCTCAACAAAGCGGCTTGTCACATGGAAATTTATATCAGCAAAATTCTCTAAATATTCTCGATGTTAACTCCCTCGCCTGGTACGCAGGAGGTCGTGGGTTCGAGTCTAAACCCGACGCCTGCTGTATATGCGGAGTTTGCATGCTCTCTCCGCGGATTTTTCTCCGGGTCCTCCGGTTTTTCCCTCCACGTCTTTACACACGCGCTTAGAGTATTTGGCTGATATACATTTCCACGTGATGATGATGAGCCACTTCGTTGAGCTATCATTTGTGGCCAGGTCGCTTCTGAAAAAAGAGCTGTATAGGTCGGTCGGCTTTACCTGATAAAATAAAAAAAGAGTTTTCGTTTTTAATTGTGATCGCTGATAATTCATTTGGCGCGCAGGTCGCCTGTCAAGTTTTTTTTCACGGCTGCCACGATATCGCTTTCGCTCGGACACGATCCGTACCAGTGCTTGCCAGGTGTTGTAGGTTCGTGACTGTGAGGTGTGGCCAGGAGGTGACGGCGCTGATTAGCGTCTATCCCACCCCACCCCACCCCAAAACTTTGCTGTTTTTCCCTGAAATTTTCTGTTGCTCGTAGTCACTTTAAGATGTTCATGTTTTTGTTTGTTGCGGTTGCACCCGAGTCAAGAGCCGCATGGCTCACAGGGCTATACCGAATAAATGAAACTGAAAACTGAAACAACCCTCCCACATGCCGCAGCAAGGTGCTGGGTTGTCTCTGGGCTTCTCCCGGCTTCTCCCACGCAGACACCACCAAACTCTCATTGGTGATGGAATGAATGGGGTCTGTTATATGACATCGCAATGTAGCAATGACCCCCCCCCCCTCCTTCCTGAAAACGAGTCCTCGGACTCAGCGAGGCTTTCCTGGGTACCTAAAGAGCATTGTCAGTATCACCGCCACGCAAAAAGTTACCACGTAATAACTGCTACCAATAGGCAGCTATTAATATGCCAATTAAAAAATTGGGAGAGAAAAATACATTAATATGTTATTCCTATCAGATCTTCGTGCGATGTAGAATGCAGTCTCTACCACTCATCCATGTCGTCTCTCTGGCCTTTGTCTATGCCATGAAGGACCATTGCCCGAAACGTTGCCTGTTATATATTTTTTTAATTTTCAGGCCACAGTATTGTTGTTGTTATTGACGAAAGTGTATTTTACCAGGTAATGCCCACCGAGCAATATGGCTCTTTTCAGAAGCGATCACGCCACAAATGATAACCCAACGAAGTGGCTTGTCATTATATGGAAATTTATAGCAGCGAAATACGCTAAACGTGGAGGAAAAAAATCCGAGAACCCACGACCTCCTCTATACCAGGAGATGGAGTTAACATCTCCTGCCTACCGTGATGATGATGATGATGACGAGAGAGAGACACGCAAACTCCCAATATATAGCAGGCGTCAGGATCAGGATCGAACCCACGACTTCCTGTATACCAGGAGAGGTCGTTAACATCTCCTACCTACCGTGGTGATGTTGATGACAAGAGAGAGAGACACGCAAACTCCCAATATATAGCAGGCGTCACGATCGGGCCGAACCCACGACCCTCCTGTATACCAGGAGAAGTAGTTAACATCCCCTACCTACCGTGATGATGATGATGATGACGAGAGAGAGAAAGACACGCAAACTTCTAATATATAGCAGGCGTCGGGATCGAACCCACGTTCTCGTGCATGAACAAACGGGAGTGTGTGAGTGTGTGTGATATATTTGTTTATTATTATTATTGGTGTTTACTTCCCGAACCCACGTTCTCGTGCATGAACAAACGGGAGTGTGTGTGATATATTTGTTTATTATTATTAGTGTTTACCGCCTGTCGCCCAGGAGTCCTGATCGGCACCACGAGTCACCTGGAGGCGTGCCGCGTGGCCCCCTACGTTAACATGGGCGCTCTGAGAATGCCCTTCCAACAGGTAACCCTACACACACGGAACACGTGTACACACACACACACACAACACGTGTACACACACACGGAACACGTGTACACACACACACAACACGTGTACACACACACAACACGTGTACACACACACACAGAACACGTGTACACACACACACACGTGTACACACACACAACACGTGTACACACACACAGAGAACACGTGTACACACACACACGGAACACGAATCACACACACACACAGAACACGTGTACACACATACAGAACACGGATCACAGACACACACAGAACACGTGTACACACATACAGAACACGGATCACAGACACACACGGAACACATGTACACACACACAGAACACGTGTACACACACACACAACACGTGTACACACACACACGGAACACGTGTACACACACACACGGAACACGTGTACACACACACACAGAACACGTGTACACACACACAAAGATAAAGATCCCCCGTGTGGCCTTGACAGGCTGTAGGGGCAAGTGCTGTTAGCGAGCGCCTGTGAAGGCCGGCACGGCACACGAGGGGGTGGGTGGCCAGCACCGCGCCCGACCGCCTTTGTCTCCCTATTGGCGATATTTACACAACCACACCGGGTACTCATTTGAGGCTGAGTCGACCTTGAGGAAAGCCCAGTACCGGTTCAAATAATCATCACCGGTGTTCGCCGTGAGCGGGAATCGAACTCGGGACGCCGGTTTCGTAGCGCAGCGTGGCGCTAACCACTACACCCACCGCTCCCCACACTCACACACATCGACACGCATCAAGGTGAGGGCGCAGCCCTGCAATAGCTCGCTCACGCCCCTGCTGGCGGAAGCTATCGCCCTCGTTCTTACAATTGAAATTAAAAGTCGTTGCACCGCGCAATTGTTCCGCAACGGGTTGCGGAGGCGACCGCGTGCGAGCGATCCAGTCGCGTGCAACCCTGCCCTTCGGCTGTGGCGGAAGCCGCCTCCAGCCTGCCAACAACAACAACGTTGCCACCGCTTCTCTCCCTCCTCCCCCCCCCCTGATGAAGGTACAGGCGCAATTGCAATTGGAGGGAGTGGCTGCCCATGCACACCACCACCTCCACTCGCACCTGGCCGCACACGCTCCCTACATGATGTTCCCGCCGCCTCCATTCGGGCTGCCCTCCCTCGCCAGCATCGCCGACTCCGCCTCGGCAGTGGCCGCCGCCGCCGCGGCCGCTAAAACGAGTACCAAGAACTCGAGCATCGCCGACCTGCGACTCAAAGCTCGCAAGCACGCGGCCGCCCTGGGTCTCTAAGAGGCCGCCGGCACGACAGACCTCGGCCACCAACGATTCAGCGGCCATCCACCAATCAGCCGTCACCAATCAGCCGTCACCCACCAATCAAGGGCCACCAATCAGCCGTCGCCAATCAAGGGCCACCGATCAACCGCACACCGAGTTCTGCCACCGAACGCCAGGAGTAGTCGCGCTGGAGTTCGTTTGTAGCGATGGAGATGAGGTGGTGGTGGTGGTGGTGATGATGGAAGAGGTAGAATGAGGTGGTCAGGAACATTTCCGCTCCGGCTGAACTCGGCACAAATGTGATTTTGTCGCTGACCCCCACGGCCCCCCCTGCCCCCCCCAACCTCCCCGTTGACTGCGCACAAGGTTGAACGCGTAGCGAACGGCACAAATCAAAGGACAAACGTTGGACTCCATTCACGATATTCGTAGCGATATCCCTACGATGCATTGCACGCAGACAAGTCGTGCGGAACACGTGCCGCGTGTCGTTCTACTCAAGAGCGTTATCGCGTTTCCACTTTGAGCCAGACTCTGATCCACGGGATGATGATGGTGGTGGTGGTGATGGTGGTCTCGAACTTTCTTGCCCAAGAGTGACTGCATGGGGAGGAGGAAGTGGAGGGGAGGGAGGTGGAGGGGAGGGTGACGATGGGGGGGGGGGTGATCGTGACGCGCGCGAAGCAGTTCAGACTTTATCCAAGCCTCGACGCACTTTTATCTGTACTATTACTCTAATGACTACAATTAATGTCACTTCGCTGTCTCATTGTTATCTTTCTTAGTTCAATTAAATTGAAGTGAGACGGATCGTCGATTAATTAAGCGCTGTATAAATGACTTTAAGTTATTGAATTCGTTGTACGTGTTCGGCGTCGATTAATAATTTAAAGAACACTTTTTTCTAAGCGGCAACATCGGCAGCAGTAGGCCGTGACGCATGTCATCCACACAGTCTGACCAGCAGCGCCTCTCAAACTCCGTTAATATATCTCGGTCTAAATTTATTTTTTATTTTGTTTTAAAAATATATCTATTTATCGTGGCTTTCACGTCAAACTGTGCTCTCTCTCTCTCTCTTTAGAAACACAGAAAGTTTACTGAGCGAGGATTTTTTTCTGATTTTGGCGAAATATTGCGGCTCTTGCGCAATAATGGCGCGTGCCGCATTCCTGGGGGCGGGGCTCGGGGGGAGCAGGGGGGGGGGTCAAGGGGGGGTCAAGGGGGGGGGGGTCATGGGGGGGGGAGGTGGGAAATTTCGCCACAAATCGGAATGAAACTGAACGTCAGATAGGACCATAATATATATTTTTTTCTATATATAGACACAAAAAAGTTCATCACAGTGTTGCTGGTTTATTACCGTAACCGTTTCGAGATATTCCTCTTTTTTTAAACGTGTTTAATTGTCGTTCCATTTTTTTTATAAGAATATTATTGGTTTTTTTTGGGCCTTTCGGTAAAGTCACGTAAATAGGTTCAAATGAATCAAAGTAAAATAAACAAAAAACTACGACGTTTCGATCACAACACAAGCGATAATCATCGGGAGGAAAACATTAGGGAGGTAGCTGCTAAAAGCAGACCGCTTTTTGTTAATTTTATTTTTAATTAATTTGAACCTATCTACGTGACTTTACCGAAAGACCCAAAGAATATGAATCCCCGCAATCACGAAAGCTTTAAGTCAAAATATCATTGTTGTTTCATAAGCCACGTATTTATTTGAGATGTGAGAATCAAAACACATGTCACGGCTTATTGCAGATGTTGTGTTCCGTCGGGTTTCTCTGCTGGCAACAGGCAGAGGGAGATTGCCGCGCTCAGCACAGACAACTACCCTCTGCACCACGACAGTGTACAGATCGTTTGCCAATCCACTGCTGGATGTCGAGACCCCCTGCCCACCCCATTGGGTGGTCGTGATACGAACCTAAAAACGCATTTACATCATACATCATGTGCGGGTATAGATAAAAAAAAATATATCTCTCAAAAGCGCCTGTTAACTGTACTGTAACTTGCTCAATTATATATTTCACGGACGTAACAATACAACGACTTGTTCATGAATTACGAACAATGGTGATTAACGTTTGTCCTGGCACGAGGCTGTAGAGAGATGATTTCGGGGTTAAGAATGTGTCTACAAAATTCAGATGCCCACCCACCCCACTCTGATCCATCTCCACTATCTCTCTCTCTCTCTAAATGCCCTCTGTGATCGGGGTGGGGGTTGTGGAAAGCCACGCATTGTGGGTTGGACACGGCCCACGACTTCCATTCACACGGCCCGACCACTTCGAGACGGCACCGCTAAACGCTATTTGTCCGCGGTCACTGCGAGCATCCTCTAGCCTAGGGGTTGGCAACCGAAATAACAACAAGAAGAGCCCGTTTTTATTTATTTATTTTAACATCCGGTAAAAAAACATGTCAAGAGCCGCAATGTACGTGAATACGAGACGGCGCGTGGTCCTTAATAAATGACCTTGACACGATGCCGGTCCTCAAAGAGCCGCGTGCGTCTGCGGAGACGCCAGTTGTCGACCCCTGCTGCAGCCGCGTTGATCGGGAACTAGAGGGGGTTGGTTTGTAACCTTACCGACAACACCAACAACGCCGCGCTCCAAACATTTTGTGCCCGCGGAAATATTCTAATCCCTGAAGCAGCAGCCCGCTGTGTGCGGTCCTTGCGCGGATGTCCGCCACCACCCAAAAACAATCGGATGGAGATATGTATTCGGACCTCGGTAAGGACACCGTTCATCGCGCCTCTGATGTTATTGTCACCCTCTCCACTCTCGCATCGAGTTCGTGGCCTGCGCGGAGGAGGAGGGAGGGAGGGGGTGTTGAGAGACACGTGGGAAATGGACATCGTTAATGCGGTTCACACGAGCGTTCTGAACGCGTGTGCGGTTGTACGAATCTACTGTGGAATTAGCGCACACGGCAGTGGCACTTAACGCGTACAGAGCGGACGGTAAGGACAGTCGAGATGATAATCATCGTGGTGATGATGATGATCCTTATAATGATCGTGATGATGATGATGTGCATCATGCATTGTGGGGATGAAGCCCACAATACTCTTTATGATGGTCATGAAAATAATAATGATGATGATATTGAAAAAGTAATGATGCGTCATAGGAAATTCAGTACTGCCAGTAATTTAGTTTTGTTCTTGTTTGATATATAAAAAGCTTAAAGCACTACACGTCAACATGTGCGATTTCATTGATGATGTCAAAGTGATCTCCTTGCATTGCGGAATTTGGTGCTCATCTCCTGTTTACACAGCCCCCAGGCAGTGGTTTAAATTCCACGTTTCTATGGCGGGGTGAGTCCATCCCACAGGACAACCACTGTTGACTTCCCCACAAAGCGGTACCGTTTTATCGACCCCCGGAGTGATTATGGGCCTAGTCAACCCCCCACCACTATCCACACCCAACCCACCCCACCCACCCAGCCAGGATGTGAACTCGCCACTTTCCACTTTGCGAGCCACTCGCACGACCGCTGAGCCACGTGGCCTGGCTGTGACGATGATGAGTCGTGGTATGATGATGACAACGACGACCATGATGATGATGATGACACAAGCGATGTAGCAAATTCATTATCCCAAGCTGTTCGCGCACCGTCGTGATGTGTAACCGACAAGTCGCTGCCATCACGAGGACTTATGTACGTAACACAAAGACACCAAAACGTACGTACACACAGCATAGTCACGTACACAAACACACACATATACACAAAAATGCACGCACACAAACAGATATACGCACGCATAGACATACGCAAACACACAAAGATACACAATGATTCCCCCATAGCCTCTAACAGAATGTTGGGGTAAGTGCTGTTAGCGAGCACCTATGAAGGCCGGAACGACACACGAGGGGGTGGGTGGCCAACACCACGCCCGGCCGCCTTTGTCTCTCCAGTGGCGATCTTTACACATGGCACCGAGTGCTAATTTGAGGCTGAGTCGACCTAGGGGAGGTCCAGGACCGGGTGAGATAATCGTCACCGGCGTTGGCCGTGAGCGGGAATCAAACCCGGATTCATGGGTTCGTAGCGCAGCGCGCTAAACCACTACACTACCGCTCCCAACAAAGATCCCCCGTATAGCCTTAACAGACTGTAGGGGCAAGTGCTGTTAGCGAGCACACACATACACATACATACACACACAAACATACACACATACACACCAACATTCACACATACACATACACACAAACATACACACACGTATTTACACACAGACATACACACAAACATACACAAACACACACACATACACACACAGTAACACACACACGTGCATACACACAAACATACACACACACATACGCACAAACATTCACACACATACACGTACATGCAGGCATACACACAAACATACACTCACACACATACACACAATCATACACACACATACACACAAACATACATACACGTACATACACACAGGCGTACACATTAACATTCACGCACATACAAGTACATACACACAGACATGCACACGCATACACACACATACACACAAACATACACACACACATACACACACAAACATACACACACAGAAACATTCACAAACATATACACACATACACACACACGTACACACACAAACATACACACACACAAACATTCACAAACATACACACACATACACACACACACACATACACACACACAAACATTCACAAACATACACACACACGTACACACACAAACACACACACACACAAACATGCACACACATACACACACACGTACACACACAAACATACACACACACAAACATTCACAAACATACACACACATACACACACACGTACACACACAAACATACACACACACAAACATACACACACATACACACACACGTACACACACACACACACATTCACAAACATACACACACACACACGTACACACACAAACATACACACACACAAACATACACACACATACACACACACATACACACACAAACATACACACACACAAACATTCACAAACATACACACACATACACACACACGTACACACACAAACATACACACACACAAACATTCACAAACATACACACACATACACACACACACACATACACACACACAAACATTCACAAACATACACACACACGTACACACACAAACATACACACACACACAAACATTCACAAACATTCACACACATACACACACACACATACACACACACGTACAGAGGCAACATCGATCGATGTCATAAACCAACAGCAGCTGTAGCAGAAGGACTGCGAGAGAGGAAAACCATTCTACAATAATGCCTAGCACTCTCAGGATAAGAGTACTGTATACTGATTTATATACTGTAGTGAGTCTGTAAATACGTGTTATCATTTGTGTTCATTATATACGAGTTGCGGAAAGATTCAACGCGCGTTGTAAATTATTGTCTTTGGAGGAAATAATAAAAGTAATACGTGACAAATGAAACAAGACTCACACCGCACAGAAGATATTCAACACGGGACCAGTTTCACGCATCAGGCACGGTGTCATTCATTCAAATCAGCATGAGTATTGAGGCATTGTTTACAGCGCTGAGGCAGTGGTGGACATTCCACGTTCATATGGCCGGGGGATCGAGTCTCGCCATTGGAACAACTCGCCGCTCACTCGCCCACAAAGTGGTACCATCGATTTTATCGACCCCGTAGGGGATGATGTGCTGAGTCAACCATCCACCCCCCCTCCTCCTCCACCACCAAACAAGGATGTGAGCCCGCATCCGTCCGATCGCGATCCGCTCGCTTTACCGTCGAGACACGTGGCCGGTTAAACATTAAATAAATAAATACATCAATTAATTAGTTAATCAATCAATCAATCAATGTTGGAGGGACGCCGCTGTGCCAATGACCGTGCGCGCTGAGCCCACGCAGTGCATCGCTCGAGAGGGGTTTTTCTACGTCCGTCATTATCGCGTTCTGTTTGCGTGACCCATGGAATTGGACTGCGTTTTCAATGTTTTACATGTACAATAAAGACGGTCTCTTTTCTCTCTCTCTCTCTCCTTTATTTTTTGTCATTTCCGCCGTCACCGCCTCCCCTCTATCCCCTCCTCTCCCCACTCCCCCCCCCCATCGGCGTCTCGAAGCGCCCGC